GATACTTACGTATGGCAATTACTGCACAGCGTCTCTGGTTGTTAGAACAGGTTTTCTCTTGAGGGCATAAGAAGGTGTTTGTGAATGCACACAAATAGCACATAAATTCTATTGAGGATGAAAAAAAAAAAAAAAAAAAACTACTGTTGGGTTTTTCCCCAAGAAGTCTTTTCACCATTATACTCCCAACATAGCTCCTTCCCAATACTGTTCTCTGTATAAGCCACCTATACAATGCCTGTAGAGCTCAGATCCTGCCATAGTCTAAGGCAAGGCCAGACCATCATCAGAATAGCAGCAGACCCATTAGGAACCTTTCCTTTTTCTAAAGGGCTGGCCACATGTAAACAGCTGAGCACTTCAAAGAAGTCCATCCCTCCATGGAACAGTGGCCACCCAGGACACCACAATCCTCCAGTGTTTCTCTGGACTCAGCACCCGCTGTCCCTGCTGGGAAGTGCTATGGACAGATGCTCCCTGGGGTCTCCTAGTCAGCAGCTCTCTGTGGCAGTCTTCAGTCTCCTCAGACCTGTTCAAACTCAGGAGTATCTTTGAGTCTCAAGTTAACCTAACAATACTCATGCCACCTGGTTCTGGTGAGCCCAATCCCAAACAAGCCTTCTTATAACCCTATTCAGCTCTAGGTGGAGCTTCCTTCCATCCAACACACTGGGAGTCTTGAGATCATACTTAACTTGCCTAGGTTTGATGACCATGTCTAACCCACTGGTACTGTTGCCCAACCCACTGGTATTGTTGACAGTGGTGTGCACCCATGGGAGGAGTCCCAGGAGAATTATCAAGAAGAAGGGGTGCATCATCTCTAAGAGACAGGTGAACCTGAAAGTGAAGGGAACCATGTCCATCAGTGAGGGCCAGGCTCCTTGCTCCAGGTCCATGTCCTGAGGATCAAGGCACAGAGGAGGCATGCCGGGTCATGGCCTTGGCAGTCTTGTCCTACTTCTCCTACCCCAGGAGTTTCAGGTCCTTGTCTCCTCCATCCTTCTCTGCTCCATACTCAGAATCTGCTTCCCACTTGTAAAATGGTCCTGATGGGTCTGCCATCTTCCCCCTTCTAGACCGTCTTCCTCCCATGGGCATAGTCCATATCCTCCTCTCCTATCTGGTCTCTGCCCTAACATCGGATTTCAGGTTATCCTACCCTTGCTAGAAACCTTTCCTCATCTTCTTGCTTTTCCATTCTAGAATCATCCTGCAGAATCCTCTGGGGTTTCCTTATGGAATTGTCCCACTGGGCTGGATCTTATCATCTCATATCTGGAACATGGATGCTTGCTTGGAATCTATTATGCCCTTCTGGAATGCTCCAGGCTAGTTACTCAAGTTCTGCTAGATTCTCTCAGCCACTGGCCCCACTAGACTTGTCTGTACTCAGGGGAATGTTCTAGAAGGCCCTGCCTGAGGAAGATGAGCAACATCCTCTTTCTGGAGACCATCCTGGAGACTGTCCCCACACAAGGGCCTCTGTACCTTCACTCCTTCCTTCAGGCTTCAAGCTCTCTGGAGCGTCATTCCTTCACTCACATCATCGCAGTGATTCGCCTGTGAGACCAAAATGAGCCATCTTAGAAATAAGACCAAAATGTTTTCACCCTAAAATTAAGGCCTAAGATTTCTCCTTTTGAGAACAGGCCAGAAGTTACTGAGACCAGTCAGTTCAGATTCCAGAAATCAGGAAGTGTAAAAATACAGAGTCACAAGGTAGTCAGGAGGTAATGGCTGCCGGACTATGGAATGTCCTCTCCCTGGCCCCCTAGGCAACTGCTTGACCATAGAATGTCCCAACCCTAGTT